CAGAAACGATATTAAAAAAGTGAAGTAAAGTAAATTACTAACGTAATCACAGGTACTGAACAAGTTAACAACATAGTGCGGTCAGAGCTAAGATAAAAAATAGCGAAGTTTGAGTTTTGATATGAGATGATGCCGAAGTTTGTTCCCAACTCATAAAAAAGCTGTAATGTAACCAAAAAAAAAAGGTCAGTACAAGCAAGTTCTTTTCATAATAGCGAAAAAGTCAGCTTCTGCAACACGGCCCTCAGCATCCTTGCTAGCTTCCTTAATCATTTCCTCCAAATCTTCTTCGCTTAACTCTTCTCCGAGTTCTTGAGCAACCTGGAAACACTTGTTAGTTATGATATGAAGAGCGCATAATTACGCTCACCTGCTTGAGATTTTCTGCAGTAATCCAGCCTTTTCCCTCTTTGTCAAAAAGTTTGAATGCACTACGCATCTCGTCGGCAGTCTCATCTTTTTCTCCACCATCTTCTTTCAGTATCTCAAGGAACTCGTCCACATCCATGTGGTCAGCTTCTGAAAGTGATAATATTTTATAAATATTAATAGTACCTCATTTCCAGTTCTGCAAGTTGAGATAAGTTGAGAAAAAAGAGAAACAACAAGTTAATTAGCAATTTTCTAAAACCTTACCCTGATGACCTCCTACTTTAGTTCTCTGCATCTCTCTAAACCTCATGGTCATCTGGTCTATTTGAGAATTACGCGGATCAAATCCCAGAGCACGCATAACAAGCTGAAACGCGTTCACCCAAAGTTGGGAGAAATGGATACAAGTAGTGAGTAAAAAAATTATTTGGTATATATGAACCACACTTTACCTTCAAATCAGACAGCTTCAAAAGGTGCGGTCGTTCTTCATTGCACATGGCAAATGCTGCCTCTACCTCTTTGCGAGATACCTGCGTAGATGACGAAGAGGAACATGACATCTTGCTGCAAACAATTGAAGGGTAACAGCATCAATGCGATGATTTCAGATAATCACTAGAAATAACAGCATATAATAGAAGGGCTGTGACACCCAATC